GCTGCTGAATTTGTTGGTGCTATATAAATAATATTAATAATAGTAATAATAAAAAATCCCTTGTGACTTACTGCAGTCATCTATACATAGAAAAATCAGTTTCAAACTAAATATTATGACACAGAGTGATGGCTATTGGTTAGCTTTCATGAGTGATTTTTATCTTATCGAGTCATAAAGTGGCTTAATGTAGAATTAGCATTTTCCCTCAAAACAGTCTGTGTTATTGTGAGATCTTTAGTGACACTATTACCAGAGGAGACAGAACAAGGCAGACGTATTCCACCTTGGATTTTGACACAAAGGATGTTTTGTAATGGCTAAGAGCACAGAAACACTTTCTTTCTTCTTTTTTTTTTTTTTTTTTATTGGAACGAGGGAAGAGTACAATGCAAAGGAAACAAAAAAGTATTCATATGATTGATACAAAATCATTCATCACACCCACCATTAGCTTCTCGATCCCTGAAAGGACTTCATGTGTCTTTTTTACTTCCGATTCATACTCTGAAACAAAATTAAAGCAAAATGAGGATTAATAGTCACAAATAGTAGCTTCTGTGCATAATCATTACTACATTGTTAGTGTATAGAGGAAGCACTGATTAATTAGTATTAATTTATTAGGGATTAATGTTTTTATTTTATTTTAAAACAATAAGAGTTATGGTTAGTCCAATTACATCCACAGAGTGGATATCATGAAAGGGTTACTCTAACCACCATGACCACTTCAGTGATTTGCAGTGATTCCACTTGAAACGCTATATATCCATAGTCATTGTTAATCGTGTGCTGGTGGCTAGTTCCACCCCCAGTACATGTGACTTAGGCAGCCCAAAACTCTGCCTAATGCCAATTCTGTGCATATTTTATGTCTGCCATTAGCATGCACTGCACGCTGCGACAGACATAGTAATGTTGAGAAGATTGATTTCCCCTCCCACACTGTGCCCTCTTGCCTCCCTCCATTGCTCATTTGTGATATTGTTTTATTTTTTAAATAAAATTTCCACCCTCACTTCAAACCCCCCCCCCATCCCCTCCTCATGCCAGCTCACATTGTGTGCATTGGCTCTGAGCTGGCAATATGGTCCAATTACATATTTCTCTATAAGAAGCACGTGACGACAGACTGACGAGGTAGGTAAGTAAAAACTACAAACAGATTAGAAATATCACTACCCCCATTGACTACTTTAAACAGCTTTATCTTTGATAAATACTACATGCATAGAGCTGGTACGACAAGCGACAGTTGACAGTTTGCCCCGCCTCTCTCCTTCCACGGCCTCGCACCCCTGATGAACCCCTTTTATTTCGCCATCACCGGGCTGTTTCGGTAATGCATTTTTTACTGTTACACAGAATCTCATCAAAGGTGGCCTTTATGTATTCCTTTTTATGTTCCCTCAACTGTGTACTACAAATTTTTCTGACAATTTTTTCTGACATAGTGCTGAAGTGTTCAGTCTGTACACTTTAGAAATATGTATGTTGTTACAGCTTGCTTAGATTCAGTTTCATGCATTGCAAAAATAAAAACTAATAACTAATTGTATAGCAGCTCATCCCCTGCAGAATTAATATATAAGTTATGTATTATTGCTGCAGCTATCGCATCCTTTGCATTTTTTTTTATTTTTATTTTTTTTTTTTTTACAAAATAGCATTTTATAAGTCCTGGAAGCATTGCGAAACCGTATGTCAATTTTTTCAAACATTTGATTTTACTTGGTCAATTTGTAACACGTTTGCTCAATCCAAGGCAAATGTGAGCTATTAAACATAATTATGTGAGTTACAGAGCCCTGGTTTTAATAAAAGAACTACGCCCCGTCCACATTTTCTAACTACAAGAGAGCTGGTTTTGGCAGGACACTTCTAACCTTGCCATATGGCAGTTATTCCCGACAGTCTGACCTGATTCCCTCTTCTTAGGAATTTCTCTATAATGTGTTTCAGAAAAACGTATGAACAGCCACATTTGGAAAATAAAGGTAAATAAATAAGATGTGTGCATTGAGGCAGACTTCCCAAGAAATGAACGCTTTCTCCTGGAAATGCAGCACTAACATGTGATGTAATAAGACACGCATTTACTGGAAACCAGAATATCAGCTGCAAATGTCTTTGATAAATTACAGAAGGCACAAGATTCTTTTTCCAGAATTCTCATTTTCTATGAAAAGACAGACTGAATGCATGTCCAATTCTCCATTAGGGCTGCTACATCGATTCAATCCCAGATTTCTCTCTTTTTTAATATATCGTCCAAGGTTGAACTGTATTACTGGGTAAAACACCCCTAAGCACCAAATTGCACTGAATTGATAACATAATTGCAAAATTGGCCATGAATAACCAATGTTGAAGGATTTGGCAACTCAGTCATAGTCAAAGCATTGATATCTGATTTCATACTAAAAATTACAATGTATCCACTAAAAAGAGTTGTGGAAATGTGTGAACCGGCAAAACTGAATAGTACACATTGTAGTGTTCTTTTTAAAAAGTGTCCATAAGCATGAAGAGGTTATATGTGTCTAGGAAAACATGTCATAAAGAAACCCTATTTTAGTACATTGATGGGGAAATTCATGTGAAACAAACCCTCTTCCATTCATGAAACAATTAACCATGCCCATTATGGAGATCAGATTCTGTTAGGTCCAAATATGACACAGACAATTTTCATAATTTTGTCTTTATACGCCACAACAATCGATTTGAAATGAAACAACCGAGATGCAATTGTAAAAAGTTCAGACTTTCAGATTTAAGGGACTGAAGAAAAATTTCATATGAAACATACAGGAATTGCAACCATTTCATACACCTATTGTTCCTGCTATCTCTCCGAAGGGTTTTCTTTTCTTTTTGCAGCCTAAAGATGGCCTGTTTAACTTGCTTTGAGACCTCCTTTGCCAGCATGTTGTGGGTTCAGAGCAAGAGCTTTCTACTGAGAATGCCACACCAGGAATCAACGCCAGACCTTGTAACTGCTTAATTGATGATCAAATAACAAAGAAATAATAGCCCACACCTGTCCATGAAACAGCTTTTGAGTAAATTGTCCAATTACTTTTGGTCCCTTGAACAAGAGGGGGCTACATATTAAATAGCTGCAATTCCTAAACTTTTGTTCCAATTTGGATGTGAATACCCTCAAATTAAAGCTGAGAGACTGCACTTAAAGTGGCACTTTCACACCAAATTTACCTTTCTCCTATTGTTTTCTCTTCTCTTCCTCTCTCAGAATATGTTCTTCTTTTCTCTATTTCTGAACTGTTTCTCTTTAAAACAAAAGACGAAGATGTCTTTGTGTTTTGTATTTTTCCTACGCTTGACTTTCTTTGACCAAAGGAGGCGCTTATGTTAGCTTCATTTCCTGTGTCAAGGAGGAAGGTGAGTATTGTGGGAAAACTTTTTTGATACAGAAAATGGAGCAGATTTAAACTCCTCCTTTTGACCAAAGAAAGTCAAACGTAGAAAAAATACATACGACAATGTAGTCTTTATCTTGTTTTATGTTTGATAGCAAACTAGATCACAAATAAAGAAAAGAAGAACCGACTCTGAGAGAGCAAGAGAAGAAGAAACAATAGGAGAAAGGTAAGTTCGACGTGACAGTGCTGCTTTAAAGGACCACTCTAGGCACCCAGACCACTTCAGCTTAATGAAGTGGTCTGGGTGCCAGGTCCTTGTAGGGTTAACCCATTTTTTAATAAACATAGCAGTTTCAGAGAAACTGCTATGTTTATGAATGGGTTAAGCCTTCCCCCTAATCCTCTAGTGGCTGTCTCATTGAAAGCCACTAGAGGCGCTTGCGTGCTTCTCACTGTGATTTTCACAGTGAGAGCACGCCAGCGTCCATAGGAAAGCATTGTAAATGCTTTCCTATGAGACCGGCTGAATGCGCGCGCAGCTCTTGCCGCGCGTGCGCATTCAGCCGGCGGGGCGTAACGGAGGCGGAGAGGAGGAGGAGAGCTCTCCGCCCAGCGCTGGAAAAAGGTAAGTTTTTCCCCCTTTCCCCCTTCCAGAGCCGGGCGGGAGGGGGACCCTGAGGGTGGGGGCACCCTCAGGGCACTATAGTGCCAGGAAAACGAGTATGTTTTCCTGGCACTAGAGTGGTCCTTTAAGCCATATTCATTATTTAACTTTAACTTGAATTTAATTTGGTAAACAGCTGAAATAACACAACTTGTGACAGTGTCCAAATATTTCTGGACCTAACTGTATCTATCTCTTCTACCTAAGACCACTTATAGAACTTTAAATATTTGCCACTCTTTCTCCATTATTTAAATGGTCAGATTAAAAAGTTAATTTTAGAATCATAGAGTAAATAAATTCAAAAGTAAAAATGTTAACCCCTTAAGGACGACGGGCGTGCTATGCCGTCCTTGGGGACCCGGTTCTAAACGCCGGCAGGCGGCATAGTACCTCCCCACAGTCCAGGGGACTTATCTGCTCACTGGCGATCCCACGCTGGTGATCGCGATGCGGGGACTTACCTGGCGTCCCAGGGAGTCCCCCTGCTGCTGATCAGGCCCTCCTGGGCCATGTGATTGTGAGGTACTTGCTAGGACCTCACGATCACATGGATGGAATAGCTGTCCATAGCGGTGCCAGCAGGGGGAGTGCCTGGAATGACAGGTAGTCCCCTGCTACCTGTAAAAAGTTAAATAAAGGTTAAAAACAGTTTAAAATAAAATAATATATACTTAGATCATATATATATATATGATCTAAGTTTATATATACACTTGCACATACCTACACATACACTGTCTAAGTGTATTTTAATATTAATATATATTATGGTTTCATTTATAATTATACATATATATATATATATATATATATATATATATATACAGTGGACAAAAAGCCTTGCACTCCTACCGAAAAAGATTAGAACCCGGTGCTCGATTGCACAATAGATATAAAACAAATAAATAATCAGCACTCCCAGGGTTTGTAAATAACCAAAAAAATACTTTACTCCGTAAGTCAACGTTTCAGCTCCTCTTGGGAGCTTTCATCATGCTGTCCTGATGAAAGCTCCCAAGAGGAGCTGAAACGTTGACTTACGGAGTAAAGTATTTTTTTGGTTATTTACAAACCCTGGGAGTGCTGATTATTTATTTGTTTTATATATATATATATATATATATATATATATATTAATCTCAAAATACACAGAATTATATTAATTATATATATATATATATATATATATATATATAAAATAAATATGTTAAAAATGAAAAATGAGAAATAATTAAATATATATATATATATGTGTGTGTAATTTAGTTCTTACTGTATTTTGATATTAATATATATATATTAATATGAAAATACACTTAGAACAAAATAATATATATATATTTATATACATAAATATATATCATTACCGTATATACTCGAGTATAAGCCGACCCGAATATAAGCCGAGGCCCCTAATTTTACCCCAAAAAACTGGGAAAACGTATTGACTCGAGTATAAGACTAGGGTGGGAAATGCAGCAGCTACTGGTAAATTTCTAAATAAAATTAGATCCTAAAAAAATTATATTAATTGAATATTTATTTACAGTGTGTGTATCTGATGAATGCAGTGTGTGTGTATGAATGCAGTGTGTGTATGAGTGCGCAGTGTGTGTATGAATGCAGTGTGTGTGTGTGTGTGATACAGTGTGTGTGTGTGTGATGCAGTGTGTGTGTGTGATGCAGTGTGAGTTTGTGTTGCAGAGCCTTGGTGGGGGGTGGGCATTTTTATTAAAAAAAAATTTATATTATTTTTTTTTTATATTATTATAATTTTTTTATTATTATTTATATTTATATATTATTACTTTATTTATTTTTCGTCCCCCCTCCCTGCTTGAGACATGGCAGGGAGGGGGGCTCTCCTTCCCTGGTGGTCCAGTGGCATTGGCAGTTCAGTGGGGGGAGGAGGGGGGCTGGCAGAGCTGTTACTTACCTCTCCTGCAGCTCCTGTCAGCTCTCTCCTCCTCCGCGCCGGTCCGTGCAGCTCCTCTGTCAGCTCCCAGTGTAAGTCTCGCGAGAGCCGCACTATGACCCCGCGGCTCTCGCGAGACTTGCACTGGGAGCTGACCGAGGTGCTGACCGGACCGGCGCGGAGGAGGAGGGAGCTGACAGGAGCTGCAGGAGAGGTAAGTAACAGCTCTGCCAGCCCCCAGTCTGTATTATGGTAATCTAAATTGCCATAATACAGACAGTGACTCGAGTATAAGCCGAGTTGGGGTTTTTCAGCACAAAAAATGTGCTGAAAATCTCGGCTTATACTCGAGTATATACGGTATATATTTATATATATATATATAAATCTATATATAAATAAAAATAATAAAAAAAAATATATATATATATATATATATATATATATATAGAAATTCGCCAGATTGGTTACGTTGCCTTTGAGACCATATGGTAGCCCAGGAATGAGAATTACCACCATGACGGCATACCATCACTGGTCAAACTTGGAGTTCAAACTATTTTTTTGCATTTTTCACACACAAACAAATATTAACGCTAACTTTGGCCACTGTTTGTAACTAAGTGGCTACTAAAAAAGACTGGACATACCCCATTTGCAATACCTTGGGTTGTCTACTATTGCAAATGGTATGCCATCACTGGGGTAATTCTCATTCCTGGGCTACCATAAGGTCTCAAAGGCAACGTTACCAATCTGGTGAATTTCAATGTGAAAAAAAATGTAAAATGTAACATGCTATATTTGATCCTGTAACTTCCCAAAACACCATAAAACCTGTACATAGAGGGTACTGTTTTACACGTGGGACATCGCTGAATACAAATATGTGTATTTTATTGCAGTAAAAGCAAACATTATTATGACATTCAGAGTTAAAAAGTCATGCAGAACTAAAAAAATAACAAACTTTCTGAATTTCTTACATTTTTAAAATATTTTATTTATATTAAATTGTGTTTCATAGCTAAATATTTGATGTTAAATGAAAGCCCTATTTCTCCTGAATAAAATTATATATAATAAGTGTGGGTGAACTTAAAGGAACACTATAGGGTCAGAAACACAAACGTATTCCTGACCCAATAGTGCAAAACCCACCATTAAGGTGGCTTGCCCCCCTCATTACCCGAAAAACTCATCTTATTTCCAGCGCTGTGCGGGTCTGCCGGCACTGGCCTCGCCCACTTGGTGGCATCATCAGTACTGACCATTTTTAACCAATCCAATGCTTGGATTGGCTAAAATGGGCAAGGGGGCGGGACCAATCAGCAACTCCTCATAGAGTCATAGAATCATTGCATCTCTATGAGGAAAATTCTCTCCATGGGGACGCTGAATGGTAGAGCTGCCTACTGTGCAGCACTGAGCCAGGAAGCGCCTCCAGTGGCCTCCTAAGGAGTGGCCACCTTTTCTCTGAAAAGGCAGTGTTTACATGAAAATGCCTGAAGGCAGCTATTATACTCACCAGAACAATGACATAAAGCTGTAGTTGTTCTAGTGACTATAGTGTCCCTTTAATATGAAAGAGGTGAATTACGGTTGAACAGACATATAGTCAAATTCCAAGTTTTGTTTATGTTTTATTTTGATCATTATTTTGAACGTGTACATTTGGCTCAGTCCTTAAGGGGTTAAACTATCATGTACAAGGGGGATCTTATCCCTGTACAGCACCTGGTAGGCATATGCCTGCTGGCGTTCGTACTGATTTGAGAAACCTTCTGTTTGCCATGTGCTCTTTTAAGTCACTGCATTAACTAAATTGTCCAGCAGAGGTCAGAAGAGAATGCAAACTTAAAAATCATAGCTGAAGAAAAAAATAAAAATAAAACAAGCAAAAACGTTTCTAAACATACATTAAAATTGCATCTGTTATGAGGATAAACAGCATGCATTTTAAAATTAAATTCCATGTTATGCTTCAGCAGGAAGCGTACAGGCAGCACTGTTATAAATAAAAGAAAATCAACTATGTAACTCCTGCTTGCTGACAGAGGCTGCTGGTGGCTGTAACGCAATGATGAGTGCTCACTCAGGTTAACGTAAAAACTGCATAAATCTGTAAAGATGTCAGTAAAAAAGTTACCTATTTTACATTGCTCAGGAACCAACTCAAATTTTTACTTTTGTTTAAAAAGAAAAGAAACAAATGTTAAAGTACAAAAAAACAGCCTATTACTTATTATACGTGAACAAATAGTTGTAATAACCGAATATTCCTACGTACAGTGACCGTCAAAAAGAGTGACAAGGTACAAAAAGCCTTACATATTGCAAAAGTTACCAACAAGTAAATACAAACCCAAAAAAACTTTGTGGTGTAGCGCTATATTTAAATAGAAGGGTAGTGATAAAAACTAGGTATATATCGATACTACCTTGAAATTCCTTATGTCTTTATATTCACATAAGAGTGTAAATTCTACAAGACATAAAAAACAGACAAACCAAACATAGTGCAAACTGTATAATAAAGTCCGTTATAGAGAATAAGGAAGGGAAAATTTCCCACTCACAATTTTAGGAGCTAATATGAAATAGCTCAATATCTGCGCTCTTGGGGTCCGTAAAGGCGACCCTCACCCTTCTTGTGTATAGATCTCCTTGGTTTCCTATAGAAGTAGAAACCGTATATGGTGCAGTATCGTAATAATTATCAATGTGAGATAAATATAAAATGTAATACTCACAAAATTAGAGCCATCCAGATCGGCTCTAATCCACACACTTGTGTAGTTGAGGACTACACACCTTCTTTGTGAAAAATGAATAAGAAGTAGCAGGGAAATGCCAATATATAGTATAAAATGTAAATAATTTTATTATAACGGTAATTGTATAAAAATATATATATATATATAAAAAACAATAAAAAACAATATCAAATTGGCATAAAATCCAAAAGTCCAAAGTCTCACAGTCTCTCCAGTACGCGTTTCGCCCTACAGGCTTCCTCAGCTGGATGTGGTGATTCAAACTTCCCATGGATTCTCCCTGCTATATGTACCCCTCTCAGGGGTGAGATAATTAGTGTCCAGGCTTGTATTTTCGCGGGCAATCACCATAGAAACGGTGACGCCCTGCGTTTCAAGCCTTTTTTCTATTCATTTCCGGGTTTTTCTGTTCCGTTGCGTCACTTCCGGTTTCGCCGATACGTCACTTCCTTGCGTTCCACCATGCGGTTCACTGTGCGTTCCACCATGCGGTTCACCATTTATTTCCCCAGGATTTCCGGGTCGGCGGTTTTTGAAGGGAAATATAAGTTCAAATGAATTATATTTCCCTTCAAAAACCGCCGACCCGGAAATCCTGGGGAAATAAATGGTGAACCGCATGGTGGAACGCACAGTGAACCGCATGGTGGAACGCAAGGAAGTGACGTATCGGCGAAACCGGAAGTGACGCAACGGAACAGAAAAACCCGGAAATGAATAGAAAAAAGGCTTGAAACGCAGGGCGTCACCGTTTCTATGGTGATTGCCCGCGAAAATACAAGCCTGGACACTAATTATCTCACCCCTGAGAGGGGTACATATAGCAGGGAGAATCCATGGGAAGTTTGAATCACCACATCCAGCTGAGGAAGCCTGTAGGGCGAAACGCGTACTGGAGAGACTGTGAGACTTTGGACTTTTGGATTTTATGCCAATTTGATATTGTTTTTTATTGTTTTTTTATATATATATATATATTTTTATACAATTACCGTTATAATAAAATTATTTACATTTTATACTATATATTGGCATTTCCCTGCTACTTCTTATTCATTTTTCACAAAGAAGGTGTGTAGTCCTCAACTACACAAGTGTGTGGATTAGAGCCGATCTGGATGGCTCTAATTTTGTGAGTATTACATTTTATATTTATCTCACATTGATAATTATTACGATACTGCACCATATACGGTTTCTACTTCTATAGGAAACCAAGGAGATCTATACACAAGAAGGGTGAGGGTCGCCTTTATGGACCCCAAGAGCGCAGATATTGAGCTATTTCATATTAGCTCCTAAAATTGTGAGTGGGAAATTTTCCCTTCCTTATTCTCTATAACGGACTTTATTATACAGTTTGCACTATGTTTGGTTTGTCTGTTTTTTATGTCTTGTAGAATTTACACTCTTATGTGAATATAAAGACATAAGGAATTTCAAGGTAGTATCGATATATACCTAGTTTTTATCACTACCCTTCTATTTAAATATAGCGCTACACCACAAAGTTTTTTTGGGTTCCTATTCTTGTAAGATAAGAATTTGGTGTGATAGCAGCTACTTTAGTTATTTGGAACACAGTTCACTGGTTGGGGAATATTTAGCGCTGGTACACCCCCTCTCTTTTTTCATTTGCAAGTAAATACAAACGAACACTTTAAAGGAGGGAATTCTAAAACTCTAGAAAATGCTAAAGGAACTCTTTACTGCCAAAATAAATAAATGAATAAAAACTCACTCTTTAGTAGATATACACCAACTGAAAACATGCAGGCATTTAATATTACATTTTTTTTTCTTTGGGGTTATATCTAAAAACTGTTTATAAAGCCAATAGATCTTTTTGTTTGTTGTTTTTTGCAAGCCCTCCCCTTTTAGCCCCGCCCATACTTTATGTGACTATCGAATAACAGACTTCCCAATGCAGCTCAATGGGAAGTCTTTGCAAGGCAGGTGCTCTGGGCAATTTTAGCCTCTTGAGTTTATCTTCACCGAGCTAACCAAACCAGGAAGTAACAGGACCTGTTGTCTCTTTCACAATCTGGGAAGGGAGGTTCATTTATCAAAGTGCCAGTTTCTTGTGACTCTGCACTGTATTAACATTACAGTTACTTGAAACTGTTTTAAAACACTTTGTCGTTTTACTGAATTACAACATGAATGGCAAAATGTAAAAAAAATAACTGATCTGAAAAAAAAATTCTATTCTCCAACCCAGCTACAGCGACAGCTTGGGTATTTATGCCTAAAATTTGCCATTCAGATTTCAATTTGTTAAACTTAGTTTTTTAGTGAAAACCAAGAACCATAAGAGAAGAATCATTCACAATAAGATGCTTTATGGCTATCAAACATGTAGCATAACAAGATAACACTGTGACTAAATGGTTATGTGATATCACACAGAGTTTTTTTAATGCAAAAATGATAAATACTTTTTTTTTTAATTATTTCCCTAAATTGTGAATTTGGAGGAAATTTAAGAATTTAGGCAAAAATAGCCATAAAATGTTTAACTCACTTCAAACTTGACAATCCTGATAATTCTCACTTTAGTGAAAAACCCTAAATATAGTCAATTGCAGATAGCAGAATAGATACAGCATTATTAAAGGAACTTTTCAAACACTTAAAAGCACTTTTGCTGAAGCATTTTAGGATTAAATTGCCTTTTAGGATTACTGTGATTTCAAAAGAAACACCTTTGTCACACCTTCCTGGCAGTCTATCATACAAACTAGGGGGTTTATCACCTCACTCACTTTTAACTGTAACTTAAACAGAAGTGAGGGGCTGAGTTGATTCTGATGCATGTCATCTGTACATTTCTCAACAAACCGTAACAGCTCATTAAAGAGTCTATGATTGTCCAATTGTGCGCATGCACAATTTGTCCATAAGGCTAGTCTACAAACTCTTTAGTGAATAATATAGTGCTTTTTCTATCTGTCTCTGTATTCCCTCTTTTGATGACAGACTCTCTCATCTCTTCCTCCTTGCATGTGAAGCCCTCTCTGTATGATGACAGATACGCCCTTCGGCAGTGTCAATGGTACACCCCTCAATGGCAGGCTTGTTTTACTTATAAATATAGAATTTCATGATAAGCTGGACTACTTAACTACAAGATAAGCTTTACTGGGCACGCAATGCTGCAGCCTTGGGGCAAATGACCCTCCATGCCTGAATACATGGTTAGACTTGAAGACATATCCGTCATTAGATACAGGGAGCCCTCAAAGATGCACTATCAGGGGCCACCTGTGTAATTCATGATTAAAAGAAAAAAACAGCCAACAAAACATTGTCTGTGTGGCAAAAAAGGTTTCTTATAAATTCATACTTACTAGTATGAGTGTAAGAAAATACAAAAAATATAAATGTTACTGTTACTGTCAAAATATAAATGTTACTGTTCTGTAATTGTAGTGTTTTCATGTGTAATTGTCATTCTTTTTAATTGTGTATTGTTGCATTAATTTAATAAACTAAAAGGACACTCTAGTCACTAGAACTACCTCAGCTTTATTTAGTTGTTCTGGTGTCTATAACATGTCCCTGCAGGCTTTTCAATGTAAAGGTTGCCATTTCAGAGAAAAGGAACACCTCTACCGGCAATCACTCAGACGACGTTTAAAGGAGCTTCCTATCTCAGTGCTGCACTGTGTGCAGAATCTTTGTTTAGCGTCTCCACGCTACTCCACGATTCTTTAAAATGCATGCTCACATACATATACATTTTACTTCCTATACTTTGCTGTTACACATAGAGTCTGGACGGTCTGCATTTAGATCCAACATTTCATAAATGTAAGCCTTTTTAGCTCATGGGATTTTACTGAGAACACATTAATGAAACCAGTGTGCCTGGACTTTCCTTTTTTTTTTAAATTCAATTTGAGATAAAAAAAGAAAAAGAAAAAAAGAAAGAGATTCTAATCTTGGACACTGACAGGCTGGAAAAGCCAGTTGGTTATTACTTTTAAGCATTAAAGCGCAAGACAAATTTGTTTTATTCAGCAAATTTGTAATTCTTGACGGACTAACCAATGTAAAATTTAAGGTATAAGTAGCCAAACTGGAAGAAAAAGCTGTATCTAAATTATTATCCAAATTGGCTGGTTTGCACAATTCCCTAGTCAATTCACATCAATTCTGGTTTAGTGAATAAGCCACATGCTGTCTGCCATTTGCTTCAAAATTGTTTTGTTGAATAGATGATGTTCTTTCTGCAAAGCTTGTTTTATTTGGCTGATCTACATGGCACAGTAAACAATCAACAACAAAAAAGTATCTGTTTTATATTATTATAAAGAAAATAGCTGTCCCATCAAAGTTCCACGGGTTAGCATTTTTTAACACAAACACAAATATACAATCTATATTTTTTCCATTCAGTTAATACTTTCCATGCAAAAACCATATCCTAATTACTTATTCTCAAACAATGTGACATTCCAACAACTTTTCCATTATTCATTGCCTTGTTACTTCGAAAACTGTAATATTTAACCTATAATAAATTCAGTTAGTTGATCAATGTTCCATGGCACAGAAACTATACCATGGGTATGGTAAGAAGAAACATGTATTGGTGGTGCCCTGATTTTGCTGTATCGCTGTTCATTACTATTATTTTTGTCCAGATGTTTAAGCAGCACTACCAATTTTATCATTATAGCCAAGAATCCTTAAGACATCAAACAAATAATGAATGTCCTTCCTTTAATATTTCAAACAGAACATGGATACAAAAGAAGATAAAATATGTCAAGGTCAAATATTATATGTATATTTATGATTTTTTTTAGATTGTTTTAGATTAATAGTCACTGATTGATAAGGTGATATAGGAGATACTTATATTTTATACTTTTTGTCTCTGTCAGGAAAAATGGGAAAGTGAAAGTAGAAGGAAGGAAGAAGGGAAGGTAAAAAAAGAGAAAGATACGAAAAAGTAAGGAAAGACGAAGAAAAGAGGAAGAGTATGTGAAGGTTGTTATGTAAGCCATATAGTGGTATTCATAGATTATGTTTTGTACTGGCTATTTCTTGTTATAATTGTCAAAATAAATAAAGAATTAATATATTTAGAAAAAAAGAAGAAAAAATATATGTAGTGCTTTCGTTTATTAAAATACTAAATAAAACTTTACAAAATCAGGGCCACTTACAAACATGTTCTTACATTCTTAAAGGGATCCTATAATGCCAGGAAAACAAAGTTGTTTCCTGGCAATACAGGGTTAATAGGTCCCCCCCTCCCTCATGCAAAACCCCTTCAGCCACTTACCTTAATCCGCCCACACTCCTCCCCCGCCAATGTCAGTCGGCGGGGGAGATCTAACGCGTATGTGCGGCAATGGCCGCACGCATTAGACCTCCCCATAGGAAAGCATTATTCAAGGGGCGATTGGGCCCATCACTCCAGGGGGCCTGCCCGCCCTGCGGACGCCTGCGACCAGGTGCCTGCCGCCATGTGTTGCATTGAAGGGGTCCATAGGGTGGCCAATGCTGTTAGGGCCACCCGATGGCAATAAATATCCAGGGGGCCCTGGTCAGCGCTGCACATGGCTCTCACTGATAGCTGGGAGAAGTGACCGGAGCAGTCACTTCCTCCCAGCTATCAG